CCACCACATCACTGCTTGGTGCATTCCATTGTTAACTACTCTGACACTGAAAAATTTGTTTCTAATGTCTCTGTGGCTCATTTGGGTACTCAGTTTCCACCTGTGTGTGTGTTTAACTAAGTCGTCTGGCAGGGTCGAGCTTGGCTTCTGGCCCCGCCTTCTGAACGGTCTTAAATCAACATATTGACCCATTTCTCACTCTTTTGTCATATTTACATTTAACATTTTGAATCGAATTAACTTCTTTCGTTTTAATTTGTCATCTTGTTGTAGAACTTAAACAAATTGTCTAACCCGTCCTCCTAATACAGCGTCGCATGTTGACGTATACTCTTCCTGAGGCCAAAACCTGTCGTACTAGAAGATGGCAGCGGCTCGCGAAATTGACGTAATGTTCCTTTTTCTGTTTGGGTCCTCTGGTAGGTAAGGATAAGGGCACTTTAGTACGCCAGATTCGTGACGTTGGGACGCCTTAGGAGGCCGGGTTGTACTGTGTACACTCGTATATGTCTCGTATATGTAACGATATATATATATATATATATATATATATATATATATATATATATATATATATATATATATATATATATATATATATATATATATATATATATGAAACGTATATGTCACACGTTACAACTTCAGTTCCAAATAATGTCCAGTTGTGAGTCTGAACAATCTTGATTACGGGAGTAATGCTAATTGAGTTACCTTGACGTATTAGCGCAGGTGACCAGACCACACACTAGAAGGTGAAGGGACGACGACGACGTTTCTGTCCGTCCTGGACCATTCTCAAGTCTGAGTGTGTTAGCGCAGCTATTTGGTCTGGTGGCTGGGAGAAGAGAACACCTTAGTGCACACAGTGGTTGTGGTGTTGGCTGCTCCTGTACCCATCAGCACACTATGAGCAGTGACGACGGCCTATATAAGGTTTAACCTGTAAGATTTCTACAATTTGCACCCGCAAGATAACGTCAATTTCAGGGGTTAACAAATGTTAATCTTCTTGTCTGAAAAGCTGTTCACTTGAGACAGTTTAAGCAAGTCCCAGCTGTATATGGAGTACAAGTGACAGGATGAACAACCCAGCGGGTTTTCTTCCTATTGGGGAGTGCTGTACATGCTACTATGGCGGTGTGTCCACTCACAGGATGAGTGGCGCTGCCCAGTAAAGGTGGAGTGGACCCTGCCCGGGGTGCACTCCAGTTGTAAACACACCAGTCAGTCAGCTGGGGAAACCCAACCACTCACTCCCTCACGTGTATGTGGTTGTTGTGGGGGGAATATAAGCGAGTGAAGAGCTTGGTCTGCACTCTCCTCCAATTACAGCCCCGCTCCTGTGCCAAGTAAGTCCACTACGGGCTCACCATAGCCCGTGCTACTTGGAACAACTTGGTGTGCAACACTCGGACATGATGCCGTGGTATGTCTTACGCCAGCACTTAATAACAGGTTCTTGCTCAAAGGCCTCGAGAACACTGAAGGCGTCTCACAAGGCCGATAGCTTCTTCCTCAGTGTCGTTACCTGAAGCTGCATCTGTATGGGGGGGGGGGGAAGGGGGAGAGGAACTATGAGGAGAAAGCGCCAAGCCGTTTCGACTACTTAGGTCTGGGAAGGGGGTCAGGATAAGGATTTGGGGGATGGGACGGCATGGGTTCGAATCCTGGCCGGGTCAAATATATATGAGTTCTTGGTGATCTATGACTTGCGCATTCATGCAGTCTTTCTCTCTTTCACACACACACACACACACACACACACACACACACACACACACACACACACACACACACACACACACACACACACACACACACACACACGCGCGCGCGCACACACACACACACACACACACACACACACACACACCAGGGTACTCCCCCCATCATTGCGTTAGCCAATATCTCCAGATGATGCACCACAGGGCTGGCGTCCCCACCTGTTTCCTCACACTTCTCCCCAATATTTGTCCTTCACTAAACTCAAAAAATAGTTCAGATTAGTTGCAGTATCACTTTGAGGTATTTGTCGTGTTATTTACACGAGTCTGATTCTAAAACCCATAAAGCGGACACGCTGATGACTCGTTCAGGCATTTTGTAGTCACCATGAAAGAAATTGGTTGACATTGGCTTTATAAACTGTAAGGTTGTTGATTGACGCAACTTTGCTTCGTGGATGATCGTTGCCACGTGGGCTGTTGCGTCCTCGGCTATTACTGGTCGGGTTAATAGTAGTTATCTTGGGTATTATATTTATGATCACTATATGATCACAAGAATGATCATATAGTGATCATTCTTGTGATCATATATGATCACAAGAATGAAGCAACTAACTAGTTTGTCACTTGTATAAAAATTGGAGTCCAGTTCCTGAACCCATTATGTGAGGGGTAAGTTTACCGCCCCGCAGGATGGGTGTATAACAAGCCCAACTGGTGGTTGTGGAGGGTTGTGAGCGGGTTGTATTGGTGAATATGGTGGAGCTGGACGAGGACACAGTATAGTGTTGTTACGTAGAGTAGTTGTGGTTGTGGCCTGGGTAATAAATTTGTGTGTATTCACCTAGTCGTATTCACCTAGTTGTGCTTGCGGGGGTTGAGCTTTGCTCTTTCGGCCCGCCTCTCAACTGTCAATAACTACTTGTCTAACTACTTTTTTTTTCCTCCACCCCCCCCCCCCCACACACACACACACACACAACTAGGGGCCTCGTAGCCTGGTGGATAGCGCGCAGGACTCGTAATTCTGTGGCGCGGGTTCGATTCCCGCACGAGGCAGAAACAAATGGGCAAAGTTTCTTTCACCCTAAGTGCCCCTGTTACCTAGCAGTAAATAGGTACCTGGGAGTTAGTCAGCTGTCACGGGCTGCTTCCTGGTGTGTGTGTGTGTGTGTGGTGTGGAAAAAAAAAGTAGTTAGTAAACAGTTGATTGACAGTTGAGAGGCGGGCCGAAAGAGCAAAGCTCAACCCCCGCAAAAACACAACTAGTAAACACACACCAGGGTGCAGCCCGTGACAGCTGCTTCCTGGTGTGTGTGTGTGTGGTGTGGAGGAAAAAAAATGTGTGTGTATGTGTGTGTTTTTTCCCCAAAGAGATCGTTTATAGAGCAGCGTCACTCATCCTGTGAGTGAACATATCACCGTAGCAGCACACGGTGGGTTGTACAACATGTCAAATGTACACAAACTCATCCGATAGACTTGCTTACTTTAACTGTGTCAAGTGAAGTGTGTCGTCAAACCTGTGGGTGAATATTTCACAACCCTCAAACTTTGGTTATCTTGCCAAACTAATTTTGGTTATCTTGCCAGTTACAAACTATCTACATTTAACAAATTAATTTTCTAGATCAATGTAGGATTTATTATACAACACATTTCAGTACTGGAGAAATGCCCGACACACCACTGGAACATTATCTAACACAGTGCACAGTTACAGCCACAACAGACCACTGGAACATTATCTAACACAGTGTACAGTTACAGCCACAACAGACCACTGGAACATTATCTAACACAGTGCACAGTTACAGCCACAACAGACCACTGGAACATTATCTAACACAGTGCACACTTACAAACCCATTAAGATTTCATTTTAGATTCAACAGAGCAGAAGAAGTTGTTAAACTTATGAGGCATAATCTTACTAAAGCGACCATACGAGTCCTAAATACTCATACTCCGCCTAAGTAAAACAGAAACAAGTAACATTTAGTGAGCCAGCCAGAGGCTTAGGGCCCCTGAAAAAAAAGTAAAATCTAAGACCTAAAAAATGTGTCTTAGGTGGACACAGTTTATTATTATTAACATCTTTATTGACAAAAATTAATTACAATTTTGCCCAATCAGAGTAATTCAATTAGGTATTATTAAAGTGAGTATAATGCTGGTATTCACTGTCACACAGTGGGGGGGGGGCACTGGCTCAAATAGTGGTGAAGGCGGTGTCCATCTCTCGTACCACCATGTATACGTATGTATATGTACGTGTATGCATGAGTATGTGTACATGTACATATAACATTAATAATTTTGTAACTAGCGTCAAAAAGATTGTTATTTGCTTAGCTAAACGAACTAGAGGGTTCAGTTCCTGAACCGATTATGTGCCTCTGTAATCCTTTACACCACCGCCCACGGGATGGGTATGGGGTGCATAATAAGGAAAGAAATTGAATTGAATTCTCGTACCACAGATTCTGGAGCTCCGCTGTTCACCTGTTGTTTCCATTCCGAATCTCCACTGGGTACTTGTATAAAGATGAATATTCTCTACTCTATCGGCCACCTCCGTTTCATCGACAATCATTGAGGTTGCCAGCTGTGACTGCCTTGTACAGGATTCCTAACTTGCTTTCCCATCCTCCTTTCATCAGTTACCTTGTCAAGGTGCTGATAATACCTCTCATTTGTGGAGAAAAGTTTCCCGAATGAAGTATTCAATATGGTCTCCTTCAGTGCCAGTCACAGCCAACACATCTCATTTCTACAGACTCCAACGTGGGAAGGAATCCGTAGGAACGTGATCAGCTTAACCTGTTCATTTGTTATTTGCACAGCTCTTGCCGCACCAGTACATTCTTAGTCCAAAAAATTGCCAAAGCATTGAATCTACGACATTCTTAGGCCAAAAAATTTCCAAAACATTGAATCTACGACATTTTTACGTCCCCAAAATGGCTAAAACATTGAATCTACGACATTCTTAGTCTCCAAAATTGCCAAAACATTGAATCTACGACATTCTTAGTCCCCAAAATTGCCAAAACATTGAATCTACGACAAGAGTGTTGTGGGTGAAGACCAGAGTATTGATGCTGGAGAGTTGTGCTGGGGGGATTGTGAGAGGGGGAGAGTTGGGACTGAAGACAGGAGAGGGTCTTGATGAGGAGAGCTATTGACGGTGGGAGGTGGGGGGAAGGGGTGCACTGAAAGTAGGCGGGGGTTGGCGGGGGTGAGGAAGCAGAGGCTGGGTGGCAGGCCGGGTGGCCACCGTTGGCAGTAGAGCCCGAGACACGGCGGGCGGTGGACGGGTAGTGTGTGTGTGACGCTGCAGCACACCTGCCTTGCTCTCACACACATGCACACACACAGAGAGATACTCTCTCTCTCCACACACTAACCCGCTCAAGCTTCCCCCCTCCCCACATATATACAACTCACACACGCGCGCGTCCTCACCACGTACACACGCACTCGACTACAGCTCCATATCACCTCAAGGAATTATCGTCCAGCAACCATTGGTGGAAAAGTTTATTGGATCCCGGAAAACGGAGTGATTAACGTTTCTCGATATTAAGTTGAAGTGAAGCAAGTTTGGTGTTCTGTGAATGAATTGACATAAAATAAGTTATTTATGTGTATATATATATATATATATTAATGTTCATTTAATGAACTAGTAAACGGATAAAAGTGATCGCTACAGAGAAGATATATCCTACTGTACCCCTGGAAACACAAGGAAATTAAACCCGTGACAGACACACTATACTGCTGCTTATAGTTGGTAGTTTTGATAGAGTTGAAGTGTGACAGTGTGCCCGGGAGGTGTATATGGTGTGCGAGGATAACAACACTGTGAGCAGTGTGGTGGTGGGAGGTGTGTACCCGGATCTGGCGGGTGTGGGCAGTGTATCGCGGTGGTGGGCACCCCTGCACGCTCCGCCATGCTCCCTCCTCCTGCCTCACCATAACACCATGACCATTGTATCACCGTATTCCTCGGTAAGTCTGCATGATCTGCTTTACCTGTATTGTAGTTTGTATCTGGGTTGGGAGGGGTGGGTGGTAGGCTGAGTGGTTGGCAGTGGGTGGCTGCGAACGCGGTCTTGCCGGATGTGGTCATTAGGAGCTTGTTATGGGGGTGGTGTGGCAATCGTGAGTGATGGTACGGGATGGCCCTGAGAACGTGCTCACGGACGGTCTTGGTGCGTGTGTGTGTGTGTGTGTGTGTGTGTGTGTGTGTGTGTGTGTGTGTGTGTGTGTGTGTGTGTGTGTGTGTGTGTGTGTGAGGCTTGGTTGGTAGTGAGGGTGCCCTGACCTGTTTCAGGCAAGCATAACACAAAGTTACATTAACCTGCTGGGGCCCCACTGCTGATACACGCTAATGGTTTAACACGAGTGCTGACAAGTCTTCAACTCTTGCGCAGTCATATCAAGTGTGTGGGTGTGTGTGTTTGTGCAGTGTTCTCTTGCTGCCCCTCAGCACGAGACATAACTCAAAATCGGCAAAAATTATGCAATTTGAGAGACTGGTGCCTCAGGGTCCAGGATACACTGGAGTGTGGCACAGTGTAGCAGTTAGTTGTTTCACAGAATTGTATTTATTTAGCTCCATTCTTAGAAGCAGACATACCCTTATGTGTTGTATATCTTCACTCAGACTAATTATAGTGTGTGTGTGTGTGTTAAAATATTTAACAACAGAGGATAACAATAAAAAATAAAAAAGGAAAATGAAACAAAAATGACTGCCGCGTTCTTGTTAATTTAATTAACACATTTTCAGAAATACTTTTGAAGACGTGTTGAGTAACACGGGAGCCCTCATGTCATTTCTTGTTTCACTTTTCCTTCGTGATCAAATATTTTCACATTATTCATCACGTGTGATGAATGATGCTGTTACTGAATGATACTGTTCGTGATATTATAATAGTTTACACAAAGAAGCATTATGTGGGCTCCTGTAAGATAGTGGAGGAACAGTCTTGCAGGTTATCTTACATTGAACATACCTACTGCTATTGATCGTCCCAATTACTTTTGTTCATTTTTGTACATATATGCCAATCAAAACATATTTACAATAATAAATTCGGGTGTGAACGTGATGGCAGTGAATGTTGGTGTTTGGTACGTATTCGTAGATATGCCATATTATCATAGCGTGTGTGTGTTAGTCATATCCGTCTGGCTGGGGAGTGGCGACCCCCGGCTGATGGAATTACAGGCGACCAGGGGTGCGTTCCCGACCTTCTTCATTGTCAGTATAACCCCCTTTCGTTATCAGTATACTCCCCCTTCTTCGTTGTCACGATAACCCACCACACTGACGTGAAACAAGTTTGCTCTTGGGTTTTATTTTTTGTCATACCTCGTTATATTCCTATCCTACACTAAATGAAAGGTTGCACAAATTGTGTTTATATAACGCTGAAACTCCCCATCACAATGTAGTATTTGTTATAAATGGGGGGCATGTCCGTAGCCTAATACTGACAAGTTGGGTGCATTATGAGGCTATCCTCAAGAACACGTGGGAATATAGTAATTAGAAAGTTCCAGGTACCTCATGCCGGGAGGTCTGGAGGGTCTAATGACTGGACACCTGACTCTGGTAACGTTAGCCCAACCTGATACTGACAATTGCTGTCTCACTGGTGGACAAGTTCTGACTCAGGTGTGTGTGTGTGTGCGTGTAATTAAACTAGTACTTTCAGATCTTTGAACTAAATTGAACTTGATTGAACTAAACACACTAAAGATAATGTTTGCGAGACCTTTGTTTTTTTTTTATAGTGGATGCAAGTGCTTCAAGTGTGGCTTCTTTTAGAAGAGCAAGATTGTCAGTGCCTTATTTGGTGATGGGTGTGTGTGATACTTTGATAGTGGAGTCCAGATAAATTGAAAAATTAGTGATAGACAGATGACCTTTTAAAGGTGTGTTCAGTCAGCCTGTCCTCAGACCAAATCCATTACCACGAGAAACCACAATTATCCATCTGGATAGTTATCTACATATTTGTGATGGTCTGAAAGCATATTATGGTTCTAGTAATAGTCTACATGTAAACTGGTAAATGAACCTTTGTCGTAAACAGATATTATTCTCAAGTTATAACTTTAATGTAATAGAAATAGTTGGTTTAAAATATAAAAAGTATATTCTGAAAATGTTTTCTTTGAAGAAAGTGGTTTTCTGTAAATTCGCGGGCACACTGAAATAGTTTTGAATTCCATATTTCATGTTATCATCAGTAATACATCGTATTAACATAACCAAATGCTATGAAACCTAACCCAACCTAAAATACCCTTAACCTAACCATGGACACAGTAGATAATTGCACAAATTATGTAGTCGTACCCAATTCATTCCCTTGAGGGGATACACTAATCTAACTTGGGATACTTTGTTAGGAATTTGGGTTATGTCATCTCTGATCAATTACTTAGATATTTCTTGAATATTAGTGATATAATTATTCCGAAATCCTTGAATTTGTTAATCTTTCAATCAAGTGTGGACTGGCGTTGTCCATCATGTGGCGTCGAGCAACGGGCCGCTCCAAGCAACAGCCTAGTGGACTAAACTCTCAGCAGTCAAGCCTGGCCTTAGGCCGGGCTTGGGGAGTACAAGAACTCCCAGAACCCCATCAACCAGGTGTCGACACCAGGAGCCTCATCTTCGCTCACGTGGGACGTCAAGCCCTCAACACGCCCACTCCCGCCAGGAAAGCCTCATGCCACGCAGACGTGTACAATGGTATCCACCCAGTTCCTTAAAGGGATCATTACTTCTCAGAGCTCTGATATTCACCCCAGATGAGAAATGGTTTACCGACCGGTTGGGGTGAGGGAAGCTCTACCTTGTGAGTAGAGCTTCCCTCACGCCTTCTCTACCTAAGAGAAGGGTACGGAAGAATGAAAGTTAAGAGAAACCTGCTTGTCGCTTCGGGCATCCGAGATTGATAGTGTCTCGGATTATTTAACAACTATTATTTGTCGGGTGTGGTTGTTAAATTTTTGTTAACGAGCTTCGTGTGGGCGGGCGAGTTATTTTGGTACATGTGGGTGAGGCAGGTGGTGTGGGTGAGGTAGGTGGTGTGGGTGAGGCAGGTGGTGTGGGTGAGGCAGGTGGTGTGGGTGAGGTAGGTGGTCAGTAGGTGATCACATTGGCCAACTAATCCCAGACTTCTACTGACATGTGAGGACCGCGTCTCAACACTCAGGAATAACAAATTTGTCCAATAATTAGTATTACAATGTAAGAATGGGCCTCATTATCGGAGAATAATTATATACACTTTTACCAGGCAAAAACTAACGCTCTAAAAATAGATTTCAGTTTAAAGTATGTTAAATGTGGATTATGTGTAATGATACAAGGCGAAATGTCCCAGGGTGGGTGCAGTTCCCCTGCCAGCTGGCTCCGTGCGCCAACATGTACGCGGAGCCGGATATATGCTTAAAAAAAACAAGTTTTTTTTTATATCCTGCCTCTTTTTTATTGGTCGTTGCCACAAATTGGTTCACCTTCTATTTGCCTTGGTAATGTTTTGCTCCAGGGTACGGAACCTGGGTCCTGTTACAGTTACCAAGGTTGCGTTGATGGCGGGACGGGGGCGTTACCTTGCCATGATATCGGGGCTCAACGTCCCCGCGGCCCGGTCCTCGACCAGGCCTCCTGGTTGCTCGACTGGTCAACCAGGCTGTTGGACACGGCTGTTCGCAGCCTGACGTGTGAATCACAGCACAGTCTGGTTGATAAGGAATCCGTTAAGAGACGGGAGGACTGAACAGAATGGTGACTACCATTCATCCAGAGTCAAGCCTGGCCTCGGGCCGGGCTTGGGGAGTAGAAGAACCCCATCAACCAGGTACCTGTCTCTCAATGGTCGGAGTTGTCAAGATTGATGACCCCTGGATTGTACCAGGATGGAGGTACCCTCTCTCACAGGTCTCTAGCTTAACACGAGCCGTAGAAATGGCAAATCTTGTTCGTGTTCCACAAGTTACTGGAACAGGAGTTACAAAATGACAAGATCAAAATAAATGGGTTTGCTCGGATACTATTGGGCAGCTTCACTCGTCTGAGAGAGAGAGAGAGAGAGAACATACCGACATAGCAGCATGTACAAACACCCTTGTAATAGGAAGAACACCTGTTGGTCTGTTCTTCATGTCACAACTGGAAGTCTCGACTGTAAACAAGGAGATTAGACCATTTTACAACTTTCAACATCGTTATCTTGCGGGTGCAAAGTAGAGGAGGGGGGGGGGGGGCTCTGAGTAACATTATTACAAAAGTTTTTAATGTTTGCTCTGCTTGTTGTGTAGGGGTTCGAGCCTCTGTAATGGATTAATTTATAAACTTGGTTTAGTGTTATAGAAAATGGTTTGTTTGTTTTGTACCTTTCTAGGACATGCTGACCACAGGACATGCTGACCTCAGGACATGCTGACCTCTTTGGTGTATCACCAAGGAAACCGTAGCTGAAATGGGTGTGTGTATTTGTCGGGGGTAAACGGCCAGAGTGAGGTGGTGTTTGGAAGCGAGTCTTGTACACTGGAACACTCTTGGTCACACTGGCGCTGTTAAACCAGCTCTCGCTAGCATATTTTGATATTTCATACTTGTAACTTAAGGTGGGTGAAGGGAAGTGATCCACACCTGCCTGAACTACTGGTTCTTCCCCCATACCTGCCTGAACCAGTGGTTCCACCCCCACACAGCTGCCTGAACCAGTGGTTCCACTCCACACAGCTGCCTGAACCAGTGGTTCCACTCCACACAGCTGCCTGAACCAGTGGTTCCACCCCACACAGCTGCCTGAACCAGTGGTTCCACCCCACACAGCTGCCTGAACCAGTGGTTCCACCCCACACAGCTGCCTGAACCAGTGGTTCCACCCCACACAGCTGCCTGAACCAGTGGTTCCACCCCACACAGCTGCCTGAACCAGTAGTTCCACCCCTACACCTGCCTGAACCACTGGTTCCACCTCACACAGCTGCCTGAACCAGTGGTTCCACCTCACACCTTATTATTATTATTAGGTGATTAGGCGAGTACACCTGCCTGAACCACTGGTTCTACCCCACACAGCTGCCTGAACCAGTGGTTCCACCCCTACACCTGCCTGAACCACTGGTTCCACCCCAAACACCTGCCTGGATGTCCTCCCTCCCCCCTTCTAAAAAAAAAAACACCCACCTCTGCTCAGCCCATTCCGGCCATGCGAGCTACGGACTAATAGTGCTACGGACGGCGAGGAAAGTGTCGCCTGGGGTCATTTTCCGTAAAGTGTTGGGTTTCTTGACGTCAGAATTCTGTGGACCGGGTTCGTGACGTCAGTGGGCCGGATGAAAGAAATTGGCAAATATGACTCTTAGAGGACCTCTGGCGTGCGGCGATCATGCCTGCACACACACACACAGGCTGTGGCCGGCTGGCTGCACGATGACAATCGCTGCACCATTTCCCAACAGGAGCACCAAGGAGTCCGGCTCAACGCCCTACATGGAGGAGACTATAGCGTCACGAGGGTTGAACTCGCGGTAAAAAACACAACAATACCGGTACGGGCGGAGGTCTGGCCGCGCGCCACCGCGTGACGTCATACACGCTTCCCTCCTGTTATTTTTTTCCCAGATGCGTGTGTGTGCGCGTGTGCGTGTGCGTGTGTGTGTGTGTGTGTGTGTGTGTGTGTGTGTGTGTGTGTGTGTGTGTGTGTGTGTGTGTGTGTGTGTGCGTGTGTGTAAGCATGATCTTATAAATGTTACATGTATGCACTATACATAGGCGTAGACTAAGCTTGACACTAAGGGTACATAAGTATGTAGCTTTGTGGGGGGAGAGAACCAGAATAATAATTGTTCTTCTAAAGGTGATTTGGGACGTTTCCGGTGGGCGTGGTGTGGTCTGGGAGGTCTGTGGTGGGCGTGGTGTGGTCTGGGAGGTCTGTGGTGGGCGTGGTGTGGTCTGGGAGGTCTGTGGTGGGCGTGGTGTGGTCTGGGAGGTCTGTGGTGGGCGTGGTGTGATCTGGGAGGTCTGTGGTGTGATCTGGGAGGTCTGTGGTGGGCGTGGTGTGATCTGAGAGGTCTGGTGGTGGGCGTGGTGTGGTCTGGGAGGTCTGTGGTGGGCGTGGTGTGATCTGAGAGGTCTGGTGGTGGGCGTGGTGTGGTCTGGGAGGTCTGTGGTGGGCGTGGTGTGATCTGAGAGGTCTGGTGGTGGGCGTGGTGTGGTCTGGGAGGTCTGGTGGTGGGCGTGGTGTGATCTGGGAGGTCTGTGGTGGGCGTGGTGTGATCTGAGAGGTCTGGTGGTGGGCGTGGTGTGGTCTGGGAGGTCTGTGGTGGGCGTGGTGTGATCTGAGAGGTCTGGTGGTGGGCGTGGTGTGGTCTGGGAGGTCTGTGGTGGGCGTGGTGTGATCTGAGAGGTCTGGTGGTGGGCGTGGTGTGGTCTGGGAGGTCTGGTGGTGGGCGTGGTGTGATCTGGGAGGTCTGTGGTGGGCGTGGTGTGATATACTTTGCTCGTGGGGTAGGAGTGCCTTGATATTTCTAAAAAAGAATTGGGTCCCAAGAGCTGCCAGTTTCCTGTTTCAGCGCCTCAGTGTGGCGATCCAGAGGGGAAATGCCTGTTGTGTCCTCACTTCCTATCCGGAAGCAGAAGAGCTCCAAGAGATACACAACTTTTAAGCATTCATTGTATTCACCATTGTGTAACTTGTAACCTTTAAATATCAATAAAGCAAAACAACACAATAAATTTATTTCTACCTATCTTTTTCTCCTCATCTTTCCCCCCTTGTCCTCCCTCCCCCCTGTTCTATCTTCACTCCATAATATATACTATCTTCATCACTGTAACCATCTTCCCTACCCACAATTTTCATTACTGTAACCAAAATTAATTCATGTTTTTTTATTAACTCATGAAAATGCAAAAGTAAACACATTCCCAATTTAATTTCAAACCTCATGAAAATCGCACAAGGGGAGGAAGTCACAAGTTATGTCTTAAAGCATTTAACTTAGGCTTACCTTAAGTAACCTTTGTCCAGCCCATACCCCTCGCCAAATTTGGGCGAGGTTAGCCCCAACTTGAGTCAGATAGACATTCTCTATTATAGTATAGATGTGTGTGTGTCTGGTGATTAGGCTACCATGGTGCAGTTGTGTGTGTGTCTGGTGATTAGGGTACCATGGTGCAGTTGTGTGTGTAGATAGACGCTTGTTGCCTGAAGCTGGTGATGCTGTAAAGTAGTCAAGTGAGACGAGGTAACTACGGCCGTCGTGTCCGTCTGCCTGACTATACAGTCGGAGGAATCACTTATAAATGTAAAGGTTTACGTGTAGGAGGGAGGATAAAGGGGTGACGAGAGGTTCTAAAGAGTGGAGCGGGCATCACGGAGACCAGCTGATGGTGGCTTGTGAAGCTGGGCAGGTGGGCAGACACGCCGGGCAGCTGCTGTGGCCCCAACACCTGACCCCTCTCACTTGGCTCACCACTTAACTCCCCAGTTTGTTGAATGGTGAATGTTGGGTCCAGTGGAGCAACACTTGTTCTGACCCGTCTTGAGTGCCACTTGCCCTGCTTACACTTTTTGTACATGCGGTGTTTCTTATCAATTATTGTGTAGCTAGGATAAATAAGTTACAGAAAACGGAGGTAGCGTTGACAATGATTGTGGCGGCATCGTGAAAGTGAACGTGGTAGTGACGTCCGAGTGACGTAGTGGTGACGCAAGCACTTTCACTCCCTTCTACGGTAGACAGTAAGCTCCCCTCCACGTTCCTAAGCGCCAGTGCCTCTCGTGTTTACCTTTATATGTGAGCGTGTGTTTGTGTATGTGAGCGTGGAGGTCTTTCTGTGCCTCCGTGACGTCAACAGCATCGACATTGTCCCGGAAATTAGTGATAATCGAGGCCGATGGTGGTCGGGAGGGCGGGTGTCGACTAGCTGGAAGTCCGTCCTGCCAGGCTGGTCGTCAGGAAAGCGAGCCTTCTGAAGTGTGTTCATCTCGGGCGGTCGTTCCCATCTGGAGCGTCACTAGAGGGCGGCACCATCCCGGGTACGTTCGTCGAGGTCCCACTTGAGGCTAAGCTCCTGCTGGTCTAGTTATGGGATCACTGGTTTATATATGTGGTGGACGGGTGTGTGTGTTGTCTCGCTTCACCTGATCCCACAGCCTCTATAAGTGTGAGCTAAATATACCTGGAAGCTGTTGATGGTCTTGTGTTTATAGTACTAAGGCTATACTCGTTGTATTAAGTATCCGCACCCTTTTCATACGATAATTTGTGATATTTTAGCATGCAGGGTACAGTTATAGCCTGTCATTTGCAGAGCTTTTATATTGACTCAACTTTTGAAGAATGTCAGCAGTGGAAGACCTATCTAAATGTATGATAAGTAAATTATATATATATATTTTAGAGTTGTAGGAATTAATAAGAGTTGTTGTGTTTCAGGATGTGGTGCCCGTGGTGGTGGGTGAGCGCGGGGTAGTGGGCGGGTGCCTGCTGACCGCTATGTCCGGGGTGGACGCACCACCAGTGGCCGCCCCTTCACCGCCGCCCTCGCCACCCCACACCGCCCACCCGCCCACCGACAAGCATCACCATGACTCCAGCATTGGTAGCGAAGACGTGTCGGGGGTGGTGGGCCGCGGCCGACGGAAGCTGGAGAACGAGGACAGCAGCTATGACAGTGACTTCGAGCCCTGCGAGCGCCCTGACGATGACGAGCACGAGGATGTGTGCCGAACCGTCTCCGACACGCTGTGTGCCGAGTACGCAGAGTACGTCACCATGCATAGTCCGCCCACCACCTCCACCTCCACTGCGACCACCAGTACTACTACCATCGTCCCTACCACTCACATCCTCGCTACCAGTCTTACAGCAGCCTCCTCCACTACAGCCGCAGTCATTACAGTCACGTCAACTACAGCCGCAGTCACGACAACCGCAGTCACCACACCCACAGCAACTACAGCCCCAGTCACCACAGCAACTACAGTTTCTGTCACGACAACCACAGCAGTTACAACTTCGACAAGCACGCCATCTTCAGGTTGTGAAGGCAAGACAATCCAGGACGCCGTGAGAGCAGCGTCTCCCGCGGTGCGGGTATCTTCGGCACCGTCAGTGTCCGTGACGCCGCCTGCCCCCGCCACAACCATAATGACGATAGCACAACCTCTCCCCTCGCCCAGTACCGCTGCCAAGGCTGGGACGGTGACGACGGTGACCACCACCAGCAGCGTGCACGAGCCTCTAGCACCAGTGTGCAGTACGTCGGAGGAGCAGACGTCGTCAACGACGACGGGAGGCGTGTCGTGTGTGGTGCTGCGTCCCAGCTACGCCTCCCAGGTAGAGTTCGGCGTCAAACTGGGATATTCGGAGGCGCTGGTGCAGATGGCCCTCGTGAAATTGGGAGGAACGCCAGATAAAGACGAGCTTCTAGCGGAGCTCATCCGTTTAGTTTCCAGCGTGCCCCGAGCCGACGGAGAAGGGGACTCTGCTGACGACGTGACGGACACAAAGGATGACGTGGAGCATCATCATCACCACCTTCAGCAACAGCATCAGCAGCCATCTCTCAAACCCATTATTATCGACGGCAGCAACGTGGCCATGAGGTAAGAGACCCTCTGTGATCTGTTATAACCTCTTCCAACCCTCCTTTTCGCCAGTGAAAAGTCCAGGTTTTTGTAGTAATAATTTTGGAGTGTGCCAGAGAAAAAGCAGCAACCAAATATAACTTCTAGGCTTAGCTTATTACATATACTGAATTAGGCTTAGTATTACTTATTTAGGCCTAGGGCAGGCTTGGCTAGGGTTAATTATGGTTTACAAGAGTTTACATTTTGTACAGTACATGCCATATAGTATATAGGACATGTATATGCCAAAAAAACATAAAAAATCAATGTGAGGTATGGCACTAGCCATAGATTCTATCAATTATGCAGGCTGGGTTGGAATTGTCCTGTGCAGGTCTTGCTTGCTGTGCGTCATGTACAGGTCTTGCCTGTTGTGTCATGAGCAAGTCAGGTTATTTATCATGTAATCGAATCTAAAACATAGCCGCCCAGGCTTACTCTAATAAACTACCATGAGTTGTGCACAGGTCAGATCATTAGTGTATTAAGCTATGCACAGGCTACATCTGCCCTGTCGTGCACAGCTCGGTAATCCGTGTAGGGCTATAATTTGCAGGTGAGTTTTGACAAGCATCACTAGTAGTCTCAGGGACTTTGGTGTAGATATCTACGGTAAAAGCTAGTGGCATTTTTTAATAATTTCTAAGTAAATTGTTTTAGTTTCCTAATGAATTAATGGAGAAAGTAGGCTATATGTATTATACAAATTGACCAGACATTTCATTGCGTTGAAACGGCATGAATGGGCCTGTAACTTGAGCAAGCAGCATGGACTACAGTATTGGGTAACACTCGCATGGAAAGCCTTGAAGGAAAGGTGGCTGTTGTTACGGGGCGGGTGCTAGTAGCTAGGGTATGTGTTCACCTAAGTGTGCTTGCCCGGATCAGCATGAAGCTCGTCTTAGCTAAACAGCTGCTGGGTTGTCTTAATACAGTAAATCCCAAACCTCTCGTTTCCCCTCATATCAACTTTTGGAATAACTTTTCGAATTAGATTCTACTAAATCTTCCTCTAGTCCGTTACATTTGCTCACTAGGCTATCATTACGGTTAACAAAAAAGTTTTAACATTACGTGGCTCGTTTGTGTCTCAGATTTACACACGTAGTTCTCAAGTTCTACCCTGTTATACACAGGACATTTTCCTCTTTATCGCTCTTGTAAGAGTTCTTGAAATTCTTGTATACCGTTCTCGCGTCTCTTCAATTCCTCTCTCAAAGTGATAGACTAAGGGGAACCTCACCTCATCTTCTTAGTCCAATCCTCATAGTTCTTGTGCGGGGGGGGGGGGGTCCTGCTTTCCCATTTGTGTCTGCAGGGAATGGGCTTCAGCTCACAGGCTCCGCCTCGGCTGTCGGTCATCTGGTTCAGCGACTTGTGAATGGAGGGAATACTTCTTTATGTTAATCTCGCACCTCTGAGTTACCAATTTCCACCGAAGGAAAATTGGGATCAAGGCCTCTCGCCATTAAGACCACTCCAGAAGCTATGCAAAGTCCTGCAGATTTTCCATCCATTCTGTTCTTATTATCCTTATAAAACTTTGCATCATATGCAGACATCGATATGTAAGAGTCGTTTTTTCCCCCTCGTGTAGGTCGTTTACATAAATTAGAAACTACATGTTCTATTGCTGATCCTTTTGAAATTTCACACACGTTACTTTTTTTTTAAATTCCACACACATTGCAATTCGTCCCTTCCTGTCATCTAGGTGTTCCCTCATTGTTTAGCGCTCTTCCAGTAACATCAGAATGTTTATTTTTAATTTTGCAAACTAGTTTTGTGAGGAGGATAGTGGCAAAGATCTTTTGGCACTGAAATAACCCAGCGATAACCTCATGACAAAAATAATTCATGAGAAAGACCAGAGATTATCCACGAGGCTAAATGGCTAAACAAAATGAGCGAAGGAAGGCGTGAACCACAGTGTTCGATATTTTTTTAGGACAAGCCCAAAACAAACTATTTCGACATTCAGGAAATAGAGCAGGAGGCAGGGATGGGAGGAGACAGGTGAGTCAGGTTTCCACGCACAGCAGAACGAGAGGACCCAGAAAGGGAGGGGTGCGGGGGGGGGGGGGGTCAGAAACAAATGAATCGGAGGAATGCAAGGACGTTTTCCTTTATTATGATTGGTAAAGATTAGAAAGTACTGGAGGAGGAAGTTGTAGATGAAACTTTTAGGAAATTATAAATACAAAGAGTGATTATGGAGTTCACAAATTCCCCCACAGTACATAAAAATCACTCCAGCAAGGTCCTACGACATTCACAACCCGGAATCCTGAGCAACCTTCCAGACGACCCCGAAGAATGGGGTCCTTACAGACCAAATTTACACCAAATGAAAATACTAATGAATTAATAATATATATAGGCAAAAACACATAATAAAAGGAACAAAAGTGAGCAAGTAGTACAGAAAGGCTGATGTGAGTGGGAACCCCCTTAGGAGGAAGCCTATCACCGGTACCCTGAACCAATGGCAGCACTCCATCACCGGTACCCTGAACCAATGGCAGCACTCCAGCACCGGTACCCTGAACCAATGGCAGCACTCCATCACCGGTACCCTGAACCAATGGCAGCACTCCATCACCGGTACCCTGAACCAATGGCAGCACTCCATCACCGGTACCCTGAACCAGTGGCAGCACTCCATCACCGGTACCCTGAACCAGTGGCAGCACTCCATCACCGGTACCCTGAACCAATGGCAGCACTCCAGCACCGGTACCCTGAACCAATGGCAGCACTCCAGCACCGGTACCCTGAACCAATGGCAGCACTCCAGCACCGGTACCCTGAACCTATGGCAGCACTCCAGCACCGGTACCCTGAACCAATGGCAGCACTCCAGCACCGGTACCCTGAACCAATGGCAGCACTCCAGCACCGGTACCCTGAACCAATGGCAGCACTCCAGCACCGGTACCCTGAACCAATGGCAGCACTCCAGCACCGGTACCCTGAACCAATGGCAGCACTCCAGCACCGGTACCCTGAACCAATGGCAACACTCCAGCACCGGTACCCTGAACCTATGGCAGCACTCCAGCACCGGTACCCTGAACCAATGGCAGCACTCCAGCACCGGTACCCTGAACCAATGGCAGCACTCCATCACCGGTACCCTGAACCAATGGCAGCACTCCAGCACTGGTACTCTGAACCAATGGCAGCACTCCAGCACCGGTACCCTGAACCAATGGCAGCACTCCAGCACTGGCAGCCTTCGCAAGCCACCCAAGGCCGTTGCACCAAGTTATCCAACACTCACAACAGTAACACACACATACACAAAAAAAAACAAAATCCAAAGTGAACGGGGCCACTAAACTTTATCATCACACTCAATCGCCATCCTCATCGAACTTTTCCTATATTTCCGGTCCTCATCCCTATTTTCCTCATACTCTTTACCAAAATCTTGGGTCATCCAGATCTGGCAGCGCACACGCAGGCGAAGGTGGCGGTGGTCTGGTGAACCTCCCACACCCACACTTCTTTTTAAACTGAAACAATGAAACCTCTTATCACCCAACTCGTTAATGATTATTGTGATAATATAAACCAAACAATGTAGGGGGACACGTGATCCCACATATATCTGAAGTATACTTACCTACTAAACTCTTTCCTTCTATAGTAGGTCATCCTGCCCTTATATAGCTTAGAATAACCCAAATCTCGTCCCAGTGATGTGTATGCTGCTCCTGCGTACTCCCCTCTTCTTGTTTATACAAGAATGACATTATTACGTCGCAAGAGATATTACTTAAAGTTGGAGTGATGCGGACGTTGTCCACATCCCCTCGGGTGTCGTGTGGGACATAAGGTCGTAGGAAAGGTTATGAGGAGTTAGAAGCAGTGGGTTGTGAGGTGCGGGCTGGGGTGGGCCTGGTACAGGCAATGTTTGCTTTATAAATTGCCTCGTCACAGCTTCCCGGATCTCGAAGAGCCACCTGGCGCTCCGCCGTCGACCCACACCTCTCCCATCCCCGCCACCCCTCCCCTCACCTATCCCAGCCTCCCCTCCGAGCCTCCCTCCCCTCTCCCGCACCCTCCCAGTGAGGTTTGGAGGAGGAGGAGGGGGGGTTGGCATGTAGCGGTGAGTGTGTGAGTTAAAATGTGTCATGGGGAGGGAGATGATACACCAAAATAATTTTCTTATAGTGAATGCCAAACAATAGATTCTCTCTCTTCTTTCCTATCGCTTCTCTCTTTGCCATAGCTCGCGCTAACTTGAATTCCTGGACTATTTCATGAACTGATAGTATAGCACTCGCTGGTGTCCACAGTGGTTACGTCCTCAACACCCCCAAGCGACAATACCTTGGCGTCAAATAGACAAATAATCAGGAAACTGCACGAAGATGTGGTCATGAAGCGCTGTTTTAACATAGTCACTGCTGCTAATTGGTCAGGAAAAGCAGCGTCCTGTTGCACTCGTACTGATCGTTTGTGTGTGTGTGTGTGTGTGTGTGTGTGTGTGTGTGTGTGTGTGTGTGTGTGCGTGTGCGTGCGTGCGTGCGTGCGTGCGTCCGTCCGTCCGTCCGTCCGTATACTTGCTTATTTGGGCTTTCAGAAGCGAGCTTTAGCTCTTAGACCTTCCTAACTACCATTGGCTAATACAATGACTCCTGACCAATTTCCCTATCATGTCTACTTATAAAATTGAGTGAAGTTAACTTTTACAATATGCTTCTTTGGTTCATTCAATTTTTCCACCATTACGTTAAAATAATTTTTTTCTAGCATCTGACTGATTCTAAAGGTTGTATCCCATGTCTTATTGTTCTGTTGGTATTCATTGTGGATATTCCTCGTTTTCCATTGGCAGTCCCCCGAAGTATTTTATATGTCTATCATACCTCTCATGTCCACTTTCCTGGCATCGCCAGGTTTAGTTCTGTCAGTCGTTCTTCATATCCCATCCCTTACAATTCTGGAACGAGCCTTGTTGCAGACTT